CTGGGGATTCGAACCCGCCACCTTAGGTGTACGTGGCTGGCGCCCTAGCCGGTTGAGCTATAGGCGCTGAGCCACATCAAGAGTTTTTAACCACCCTTTCTTCTAGGATTTTTATCGTTTTGTGTCTTAGATTTCAGTCTTTCATCCATCTTGAGTCAGTTTTTATAAGTGGTGAAATGTACCCATCCAGTTTCAGTCTTTCACATGTGATTATCCAGTTCTCTCAGCACCATTTGTTGAATAGGGTTTCTTTTCCACACTGTATGCTTTTGTTTGGTTTATCAAAGATTAGATGATCATAAGAGACTGGTTTCATCTCATGGTTTTCTATTCTGTTCTGTATGTCTGTGTCTCTGTTTTTGTGCCAGTACCAAAATACTGGCATAGTGATCACTATGGACTTGTGGTATAACCTAAAGTCAGGTAGAGTGATGCCTCCAGCTTCATTATTTTACTAAGAATAGCCTTAGCTATACAGGCTTTTTCTGGTTTCATACAAAACAAAAGAAAACATCAGTTCTTCTCAGTTCTCTTCCACTGAGCTACGGGAGCCACCCAGGACATATTCTTTAAAAATAGCTATGGACTATGACTCTTCTGGTGTCAAAAATTGAAGTATCAGGGATTATACAATCACATCATAGTTCTTCAAAGTATGATGTTGGTATTTTTAACAGGATTGCATTGAATCTGTAGATTGCTTTGGGTAAAATAGACATTTTAACAATGTCGATTGTTCCCTGCCAGGAGCATAGTATGGTCTTGCATTTGTTAATGTCTTGTGCTATTTCTTTTCTGAAGGTTTTGTAATTCTCTTTGTAAAGATCCTTCACCTTTTCTGTTAGGTATGTTCCTAAGTATTTCATTTTCCTTGAAACTACTATGAAGGGAATTGTGTCCTTGATTAGCTTCTCAACTTGGCTGTTACTGGCATATACAAAGGCTATTGATTTGTGGACATGAATTTTATATCCTGAGACATTGCTGTATTTCTTGATCACTTCCGGGAGTCTTGTGGTTGAGTCTGTGTGGTTCTCTAAGTATAAGATCGGATCATCAGGCTCGCACCCTTAGGTCAGTGGTTAGGGCGCTGGCCACATACACTGAGGCTGTCAGGTTCAAACTCAGCCCGGGCCAGCTAAACAACAATGACAGCTGCAAAAACAACAACAAAAATAGCCAGGCTTTGTGGCGGGCCCCTGTACTTTCAGATACTTGGGAGGCTGAGGCAAGAGAATCACTTAAGACCAGAAGTTTGATGTTGCTGTGAGCTGTGACACAATAGCACTCTACTGAGGGCAACATAGTGAGACTCTATCTCAAAAAAAAAAAAAAAAAATCAGCAGCAGCAAAGAACGAGAGTTTGACCTCCTCTGCCCCCATTTGGATGCCCTTTAAATCCTTCTCTTGTCTGATTGCATTGGCTAGATCTTCCAGAACTATGTTAATTAGTGGTGACAATAATGGACAACCTTGTCTTGTTCCAGTTCTAAGTGGTAAAACTTTCAGTTTTACTCCGTTCAGTATGAGATTAGCTGTGGGTTTGTCACAGATGCCTTTAATCACCTTAAGAAATGTACTCCCTATGCCTATTTTCTTTTTTTTTTTAAGCATAGAAAACACAGGGTTAATAACAGCCACTATTTGCTTAGCACTTTTTATATGCAATGTCATGACAGTCATGGCAAGCAGAATTCATGCCCATTTTATTCCAAGAAAAAAAACTGAAGCTCAGAGAATCAGAGCATTGCTGAAGCTGTAATTAGAATTCCAGGCTATCAACTCCAAAGTCTGCTCTGAACCATCATACATGGATTATATTACCCCTTAAACATATCTTTTAAAATCCTAGTTTCCCAAAACAAAAAATCTAAATGGTCACATCTTTTGTAGATAAAGACCTGTTATTTACCTAATACATTTAACCACTTTCTGTTAAAGTTTCACCTATGCCTATTTTCTTAAGTGTTCTTGTTAGAAAAGGATGCTGAATTTTGTCACGTTTTTCTGCATCTTTTGAGTGAATCTTATGGTCTTTCTTTTTGCTTCTGTTGATATGGTGAATTATATTTATAGATTTGCATATGTTAAACCAGCCTCGCATCCCTGGGATAAAGCCTACTTGATCATGATGTATAATTTTTTTAATGTGTAGCTGTAATCTATTGGTTAAGATTTTGTTGAGCATTTTTGCATTAATATGCATTAGTGAAATTGGTCTGTGGTTCTCCTTTTTAGTTAGTGATGTTTGCTTCATAGAAGATGTTGGAGAAGGTTCCTTCCTTCTCAATGTTTTAGAATGGTTTCTGCAATATAGGTATGAGCTCAACTTTGAAGATGTGATAGAATTCTTGTGTGAAGCCATCTGGTCCAAGGCTTTTTTTTGTTGGAAGCTTTTTTTTTTCAATCTCCATGCTTGATGTTGATCTCTTGAAGAGATCTGTTTTCTTCCTTGTTAAGTCTAGATAGACGGTGTGATTCCAAGTATTGGTCTATTTCCTCCACATTGTCAAATTTCTGGGCATATAGTTTCTCGTAGTAGTGAAGGGTAATCTCATTTCCCCTTTTTTGTTTCTGATCAATATTATTAGAAATTTTACTTTCCTGTTTCTGGTTAATCTGGTCAGTGGTTTATCAGTTGCATTTATCTTTTTGAAGAACCAACTTTTTGTTTCATTAATTTTCTAGATGATTCTTTTGTTTCCAATTTCATTTATTTCTGATTAAATTTTGGTTATTTCTTTTGCTAGGTTTGAGATTGGATCATTCTTCCATTTCCTTGAGATGTTTCATTAGGTTATTGATGTGCTGTCTTTCTGTTTCTCAGAGATAGGCATCTAATGTGATGAATTTCCTTCTTGGGACTGCTTTTGCAGGTATCCCATAGGTTTGGTTCACTCTGTATCTTTTTTTTCTTTTGGGGATAGAGTCTCAAGCTGTCGTCCTGGGTAGAGTGCCTTGGCATTAATAGCTCACAGCAACCTCCAACTCTTGGACTCAAGCAATCCTCTTGCCTCAGTTTTTCTTTTTCTTTTTTTTTGACAGTCTCACTGTTTCACCCTCTGTAGAATGCTATGGCATCACAACTCATAGCAACCTCAAACTCTTAGGCTCAAGTGATTCTCTTGCCTCAGCCTCCCAAGTAGCTGGGACTACAGGTGCCTGCCACAACGTCCAGCTATTTTCTTGTGGTTGTCCTTGTTTAGCTGGCCTGGGCTTGGTTCAAACCCGCCATTCTTGGTGCATGTGGTCAGTGCCATAACCACTGTGCTATGGGTGCCAAGCCCACTCTGCATCCTTTAACAGAGCAACTTCATGATGAGAGGTGTTGCTACTTTAGCTCTAATAAAAATTTAAACTGACGTTAAGTCATCTTTTTTTTTAATTTTTTTTAAGTCATTAAGAATAAATGGTCTTTACTGAGAAAATCACAGAATCAAGAAGATCAAAGTTTGCTATGGAAAGCAAACTTATTTGCACATTAATCAGACAAAAAAAATCATATGTAAGCAGTTGGTATTACTAATTTCACCTATCTACTAAAGAATAATTTAGAATGCCATTTCAGCTTTTGTGTTGCATTTGTAAATTAATCATACTGTACCTTAAAACCATCCATGAGTTAGACTAAGTTACGTGGGGATGTCTGGTCACTCGTCAGCAACTCAGGGGAACATTGTCAGTGCTCTGTGGGTTGGTCAACTGTAATCCGCCCACCCACTCAGCTGCCTGGCTAGTGGTGGTGTTTGAAGAAGCAGGTGTCAGTGGTATCACTGTGTACTTTTCATTTTCTCTCTTGTCAGAATAACTGTGGACAAAAGAGATAAGTCCTCACAACCCTTTCAGGAAAGCCCCTGTAACTGGGTAGTAATCATAGTTATGGGTAGTTATGGTTGTCATAGGTAGTTAACATTGTTACGGTAGTTATCAGAGATGGTCGCAGTAATTATTATGTGTAGTTACCATAAATAGTGCTAGTCATTGTAGGTATTTATTGTGGTTATTATGGGTAATTGTAGGTGTCGTAGGTAGTGACAATTACTGAGAGCCAGCACTTGCACGTAGTGATGAGGGTGGACGGTCATGTCCCTCACAGAGCGTGTATGGACCGTGTTGGTGTGTCGGTGTGCGTTAAGTCTCAAATGCCACAGACTGACCCTGGCCAGGGTGTAGACAGCATCCTCACAGACCGGGCAGCTCCTTTAAAGCCCTTCTCTGACCGTCTGGCCACTCTTTCCAGGGCATCTTTCACTTCCAGCTGGGCCGGGGAGAGCCAATGCTGCACACCCGCCTGCGTCCTCACTGCAGGGACTTTCTGGAGAAGATCGCCAAGCTGTATGAGCTTCACGTCTTCACTTTCGGCAGCCGGCTGTATGCACACACTATTGCAGGTCAGTCAGCACAGCAGGATTGGGCAGGGTGGGGATCGTAAACATTTTAATGTGTGCACAGTGGGTTTGTTTCTTTCCCATTTTCAATAATGTTTTCTTAGAAAGAAAGAAAAGCAAAAGACTTCCCCCTGGAGCTCAGCTTAGCTGTAGAAGCTGGCAGTGTGGGGCAGTGGTCAGGGAAGAGGATTCTGCCTCAGGGCCTGCAGGGGGAGCTTCTGTCACTCTGGCCGGTTAGGAAGGTTGTTAGGACCAGAGATAAAGTAGAAAGGTAGAAATTAACATCCTTTTATTTTAATTATTTCAAAGGGCTTCGCAGGCTGCTCCTCCACCTGCGGAGCAATGAGCATCCTCAGGGTTGAGCCCACCACATTTGCTTCTGCTGTCCCCGTGTGGGCCTCTCTGTGTGCCCAGGTGGCAGTGAGGGGCCAGGCCAGCAGGGTGGTCGCTTACTCTGCAGTGGACATGGACCCTGTTTGGGAGCACAGTCATGGTTCCTTGCAGAGACTGTTAAATTAAGTACTTTAAAATTCACAGATCTTGGTCCTCTTCAGGCCGTGTCAGCCAGAGACTGGCTGCATGTCTGGTGAGGGCTGGTTTGGTCTGACATGAGAGCATCCAGCCCCACATGGGGTCCCACATGTCTGGTTCCTGGGGAGGCTGAGTAGTCCCATTATGTTTGTCAATGGCTTTCCTTCCTGTACTCTTTTGTCCTTTGTATTTATATCTAGTGACAGTGCAAATGTTTCTTCTTTGGGGACTGTTTTGGTCCCTTATTAGTTTTTAAAATTGTAGTCATTTAGGACATGTCCTGGAATTATCCCCAGCACTATCTCAGGTGTGTCAAGGCTCTGAGAGGACGTGAGCCTTCCAGATGGTGAGGGTCCATCTTTGTTGCTCTGTGCACGTAGACCCATGAAGATGAGCTTTTGGGAGGCTTTCAGGCGTATCTGAATGCTGGGCTGGGGAAAGTCCAGTTTGAAAGCAGAGGAGGCCATACCCTTGCCATGAGTCACTGCCATGCATGTGTGGACTCTGTTATCTGATTTCACACCAACATGCCTCCAGTGGAATGAAGATGGAGCAGGTTAAAGAGTTTCTTCACTAGCCTGAGTGCTAGAGGGAAGGCAGGTAGTTGAAAGGGTCAGCAGAATGTCTGTGCCAATGTCGTGCACCGCAGCCTACACACGGTGGTGCCCGTGCTACAAGGCCATGGCCAAGCTCCTAAGAGTAAGGCCCACTGCTGAGGGCTTGACCAGGCAGCAAGTGGCCACATGGGGCTTCTCCATTTCAGTCCATACTTCCCACTTATAATCCCAGTATTTCAACACGTCCAAAGAATATTTGCCAAAACCAGACACACACTTCACAGTAAAACTGCAGAACATTGATGCAGAAATCCACACAGGAAGGGTTGCCACACAGAGGCCGGTGGCTACCCCCAGCACTACCTCAGGTGTGTCAAGGCTCTGAGAGGACGTGAGCCTTCCAGGGAGTAGTAGGGGGCCACAGACTCCTGGGTCCTTGTCTGTGGCCTTTTGCCTGAATCTGAATTTTACAAAAAACCCTTTTATTAAAAGGGGTGCAGCAGTCTCAGCACCCATAGCTCAGTGGTTAAGACGCTGGCCACATGCATCAAGGCTCGTGGGTTCTAACCGCCCAGGCCTGCTAAACAACAATGACAACTATAAAAAAAAAAATAGCCAGGTGTTGTGGTGGGCGCCTCTAATAGTCCCAGCTACTGGGAAGCTGAGGCAAGAAAATCACTTACGCCCAAGAGTTTGAGGTTGCTGTGAGCCGTGACGCCATGGCACTCTACCGAGGGTGACATAGGTAAGACTCTGTCTATAAAATAAATAAATAAATAAGGTACAGCAGAGAAAGGTGAAGTTTTTCTTGTCTCTTTTTGTGTTTAAAAAAGCAATCTTGAAATCTGAAGGCCACAGCTCCCTAACCCAGACAGGCTGGGCCTCAAAGAGTTTGAACTTTGCTCCAACATAGGGATCAGAGTGTTTTGTAGCTGGGATGATGTAGGCTACTTTGTTATTACTAGTGAGAAATAGAGGCCCAGACTAAAGCCTGGCCTCAGTTCTTCACAGAAGCCATCACTTAGCTTCCTCTTTATATCAGTCTTGAATTTTCACAGTGTATACTCTCAGCATGATGAGGATAGACATGCTAAAAGTTTGGAAGCTTTTTGTTCATCTTCCTATAAAGACTCTAATAATTGTATTAACAAATTTTAAGTTTACAACTGGCTGTTCTTTATATAGGAAAAAATACAAAATTTCTTCTGTGAGAGCAAGTATTTTTTGTTAATGAACAGCTAACAAGTCAGCGATCATAAGAGCTTGAAACTTTTGCTGCTTCTGAAACAGCTGGAGGTGGAGATGCCCCCATCAGGATGCAGCCACCTTCTGAGAAGGTCTTTGTGATGTCATTTGGCAGCTCACCAGTACAGTACAAGTTTTTTCAAATTAACAGAACAGTAGACACTAATAAGCAGGGGTCCTCAAGCTTTTTAAACTGGGTCCAGTTCACTGTCCCTCAGACCATTGGAGGGCCGGACTGCGGGCCACTGGACGAGTTAGCTGCTAAGCAGGACACATAGCGGCTGCAAAAATACCGGGCGGGCCAGATAAACGTCCTAGGTGGGCGACAGTTTGAGGATGCCTGCTTACAAGCATGAATCATTTTTGAGAATTCCAAAATTCTCAAAAGAGACAGGTTGCCCTAAGTGAAGAGTCTTACCTGACAAGGGCGAGGTGCTGGGTGCTGATTCAGAGGTACATGTAACATGAACGCATCTCAGACATGCTATTTTTGTCCTGTTTTCTTTTTAAAGGCTTTTTAGACCCTGAGAAGAAGCTTTTTTCTCATCGAATATTATCAAGGGATGAATGTATTGACCCGTTTTCTAAAACAGGAAACCTTAGGTATGTACTTGGCCAAGTCCTTTGCAGAGACAGCCTCCTATTCAGTTCCCAGTTTAAAAATTGTGTGCTGAGAATTAGAGTGGTGGTTCTGTATTAGTTTTCTAGGAATTCCCACCCCTTCCCCTCCACAACTTTCGATGTACTTACAAAGTTCTTTTCCAAGCCAGACCCCTCTGTCCTCTTGTCATCATTTAGGTTGGTAGACCCTGGGCCTTGTGTGTCCGCCCAGGTATTCCTCCCCACCTGGAGATGTTCTGGAGCTGGGTGCAGCCCCCACCTGTGCCAGGCATCATATTGGCTGGCAGGCTGCATCTCAGCTAGGCACCACTCGCTCTTTTTTTCCTGCTTTCTGTGTCTCTTTACTTAACCAAACCTGGCATGTATGAGGGTTCTAACACTCTACCTCTAGGGTTTCCTTCCTCTTCAGAGGCAGGAAGCACATGTACATTCCCCACAGTATTCCAGTTCCAAAGTCACTGTTTTTCTGTCCTAGAATATCTAAGGCAGCGCAGGGGCTGCTGGAGGACCCAAGGTCCTGGGAGGGTGGAGCTGCACAGGAAGGGGCAGGCACATGGGAGATAGCTGAGCTGGTGTTGAAGTGAAGAGACCAGTCTGTGGGCACAGGAGCATTCATGGGTATTCCTGGTGAGACACAGATGGGAACCACGTCACCTGGTGTGCAGGGTCCTCTGTGTAGGGAGCCACTTATCTAAAGGGGATTTTTGACATTGGCATCCCAGACTTAAGCTTCCAGGTTGTTAATTCTACTCGTCATTTATTCCTGAGTCAGACCACCTTAGCGCAGCCTTTGCTGTTGTCATTTGTCCCTTTCCATTCCCTTCAGCTGCACTTCTGTCATCTCTGGGCTTTCTCCACAGGGGTGGCTCTTCCCTGTTTTATATTCTTGGACTCTCCTTGCTCACTTTGTGCAAGGAATTTCCCCCATTCTATCCAGAAGGGCTTTCCCTGCCTTTGTAACATTGTGTCACATGCAGTTTGTGTCCCTGGCTCCTAACAAGATGTGGGCAGTAACAGCCCAGCTGCAGCCAGTCTTCTTGGCTCTTTCTGGCCACCTTCAGCTAAACATTTCCTTTTTTAGACTTAGGGATTCACACAGACTGTGAGATATGCACAGGTTAATATTATTTAAGGAGAATACTAAGACAGTAATTTCAAAAACAGGCCTCCCTTTCACTAGCATTGGAGTGAGCAGGCAGAGCCAAAGAAAATGAGAGATGATGTTAGTGGTTTGAGGGTCAAAAGTTATCTGCAAATGAAAATGTCAAAATCAGCAAGGACCTCTCCCAGGACTGGCAGAGGTGAATAAGGGCAGCAGTAGTGGAGGCAACACAGATGGGGACAGCACAGGTCAGGGCAGCCCAGGTGAGGGGAAGCACAGGTGGGGGCAGCCCAAGTGAGGGGAAGCACAGGTGGGGGCAGCCCAGGTGAGAGGAAGCACAGGTAGTGGCAGCACAGG